TAATTGGTCAATCAACAAATAGCATGGGTTAAAATTTTGTGTTCCCTCCTGTTAATTTTTGTGTTCCCAGAACGGTCCCACCTGTTGTAAACAAGTCTCAATCGTGTTTTCGTAAATACTTTAGAAGTATGGGAAGTATGGGCTTTCTATTAACGGTCGACTTTCAAGATGCACATCTAAAAAAGTCTTTGGGGAAACCAAGAATTTGTTTTGATGTGTTCACAACATCCACGCGTCTTACTAGTGTATTCCTCAGTGCTGATGATCTTGCACCAAGGATATTGCGGAAGGAGAAAGATTTACATTGTCCATCGATCAATAAAATAAATAAATTTTCGAGATAAAATATTTTTGATTATATCACGTAATCACAAATGAACCAATTTTTTGGTTTTTGAAAATAAACATTTTTCAAAAATAATCGTTAACAAAATAAATGGATGACATCAGCAACAACAATAACAAAATAATAATAATGACAAGTAAAATAAAACAAATATAAAAAGTTCAAAACCCATCATCGTTACCAACCATATTATTTACTCGGCACCGCCATAATCATCACCACACCATACCATGCCATCATCAACTGTACAACCACAACTACAACCACAACTACCGTTATCACCACTTCAACTACAACTACAACTACAACTACAACCACCGTTACCACTACTTCAACTTCAACTCCTCCCATTATAATAAATAAATAAATAAAATATAAAAATAAAAAATAAATAATAATCATAATAATAACAGCAATAATAGGATTAGACTGGTAGCACTGGTGGTAGCACTAATCATTTTTTAAATTTCTATAAAAAAATCCATTCCAAAAAAGATTTACTGCAAATACCTCACGCGCAAGTCTAGGCAATCGCATTTTTATGATTCATTAAAAACCTTTAATTTATTTATTTATTGTAAATTATTTATTTATTTGTAATATTTATCTACCCGTGACATAATGCGATATGTACGGACGGTTTTACTGGACGTACCCGTGTTATTTTTTTCGCGCTTACATTTTTTCAATACTATTTATAGATATTAAACTTTGTTTTTCGTAGATATAATTGTTTGGTTTTACAAATCACAAATTACAAATTATTCTTAATATATATATATTGCGCGATATAGCACCCCAACTAGGATTCGAATATAGATCTCTCTGGTTTAGGAAGGCAACACACACATACACATTCATTATTAAGCTTTTTTTTGAAAGAGTAAAAGCGTTTACCCTTAGGCATAACTTCATTCGATTTTCTGTTGTACATTATCCCGTGAAACAAAAGAAATACTTTTTGGAAATTTTTGGCTAGATTGTTACAATTATTATAGTCCTAAATTTGAATCAGTATTATAATTTTGCTATTGTTATTTTTATTATAGTTTATTATAAATAATGAATCGGGTCCCCGGATTAAGTTTTAAAGTTTTTGAAAACAAAAAAAAAATCAAGAAAATCAAAATTCTCTCTTTTTAGATGTAATTATCCTTTATTGGTTGTTGGTTTTATTACATTTTTATTTATACTGAGAAAATAGAAAACACCAAAAAATTTTCCGAGAATTATAATATATTATTATTATAATAAGATACGAAAAAGTTTTCTTAATTTGTTTTAATTAAAAAATGCAATATATATGTGTGCTTTCCTTTTAAACTTACCAAATTGAATTCATTTATTTGTTCATTATTTTTTTGGATACAAGGTGGCATATTTTTGCATAATATTATTTACTTTGAGAAATAGAATGAATGCCGAACCTCCAATATAATTAACAATAATGTACCAATTAGTTCCTTCAATTATTTTCTTTGTTATTATATTTTATTTGTGTGGAGTGCGTGCGTGCACGTGCGAGTGAGTGATTTATTGAGCTGATGTGGGTATGTGCGTACGTCTAAAAGAGCTGTGGCATTTATTTGTTTTGAATACTTGCAAATTTCTAATCTTTAATAATAATGAAAATTTCTCGATTTGGTAAATTTTATAAATTTAAAAAGTATGTTTGAAAAGAAAAATAAAAGAAAAAATTTATTTTTTTTTAAAAAACCAAAAATATTTCGTTTTTTTTAAACCACATGTGAAAAAAATAAGTTTTTTCTATATACTTTAATTTATCGGATTTTTTGATGATTTGCAAAATAAATAAAATAAAATTTAATATTAATAATAAGAGAGAAAAAAGATCAGTAAATATAACGATTTATTTGATTAATTTATTTATTTTATTTAAATACACACTAACACTTATACTTATACATATAAATATACATTAATATAAATAAATGTAATTTTCCTTTTTTTAATTACTAAATTAAACTAAATAAACTTTTACTTCAGAAATTTTATTCTCTCTTAAAAAATAAATAAATAAATGCTAATGGAGGAACCTACGCCGAATTTACTAGAATTAGAAGAAAAAACCATATTTGATGCATCAAAAGCTAGCGAGCTCATAGATAAATTTCTATCATCATATATTCATCAAAAGGAAAAAACCATAGCAGAAGAAACTGAAAATTATCCCCTACCAGGTTATATGATGGTACCATCATATATTTCGCGTTTACCAACTGGCTCAGAAACCGGCATATATCTTGCAATGGGATTGAGTGGTACAACTCTAAAGTTAACAGTGGTAAAATTGTTAAGTCGTGGTGAAACTGAAATAGAACACGACAGAGAATTAAAGATTCCCGATGATTTGAAAGTTGGAACTGTTGATAATCTATTTGATTGGATTGCGTTAAATGTTAAGGATTTAGAATTACTTGTTAGACAGAGTAACATTAATAAAATCAAAATCAAAATCAAAAATAATGAGAATGATGATGATAAGGATGATAATAATAACAACAAAAACCAAAAAAACAACAACAACAATGATGATGATGATGATGATGGTAACAATAACAATAACAACGACGACGACAACGACGACGACAATGTCGATGATAATAAAGAATTATTATTGTATATGGGAGTTAATTATAATTTTCCAATAAGGTAAAGAAAAAAATTATTTTTTAATTAACTTTCTTAATTAAATGGCCTTTAATTGTTTTGATCTTTTTTTTTAAAAAAGAAAAATTGGAGTAAATGAAGGTATTATTGTTGCAGGGATAGGATGTGAAACGACTGAATTAATTGGTAATAATATAGTTGAATTATTACAGGCTGCATTTATTCGAAAGGTTTTTTTACCATATATATTCTTCTAATATTAATTATTAACATGTTATATATTTTATAGGAAAAATCTTGTTCATTTTTATTCATTTTATCCATTTATTATTTATTCATTTTATCCATTCGTTATTTTTTTTATTGTATATATAAAATAATAGGGAGTAAAAATTCAAATTGTAGCTATAGTTGATGATGTTGTTGGTGTATTAGTAGCGAACGCTTACAAAGATCAAAATACAATCATATCAGCAATTATAGATGACTTCAGAACAAATGCTGCTTGTATTTGTACATCGTCATCAATAATAAAAGAAACTCAAAGTCATCAACGTCATGTACCAGAATATATGATTGTAAATACTGAATGGGGTTCGATCGGTACCGAGTTTTTACCTTTTATAAAATATGATAAAATTCTTTCCAGTCAACATCAAAAACAATATAACGGAACTTCTGGTTCGAGAAGACGGCCATTTGAACAAATGATTGCTGGTGTTTATTTGGGTGAATTGGTAAGATTGACTATCGTAGATTATGTGAAAGTTTTCAATTTGTTTGATGGTGTGTCACCTACAGGAATGGACATACCTTATAGTTTTTCATCTCTTTTAATGTCTGAAATCGAAAGGTATTATATATTTTATTGTTAATTAGACGTGTTTATTATATTAAACTCGTTATTAATATTAATTCTTATTTTGCAAAATTTATTTAAGTGATCAATCATCAGAAAAATCTGATAGTTTAAATGCGTTATTAAACAATTTTGAATTTTCCAAGAAACCAAGCAAAGAAGATCTACAGACAGTACATAGAATTATAAAGAGTTATTCTAGACGTTCGGCTCAATTGTTTGCAATAGCTATCGCTTCATTAATCAAACTTCAATGCCCAGAATTTCCATCTGTTGAACGTAATGTTGTAGTGGCTGTTGATGGATCTATATATCATAATCATTATGAATATTCAAACCGGACTAGCAAGTTTTTAAGAGATTTTCAAAATATTCAAAAAGATGAGAAAATTAAATTATCACCTATAAAGGATGGTAGTTGTACAGGTGCTGCTTTAATTGCTATGATGTATTCTCATTAATTAAAAAAATCGATTCTTTTTTTTCATAGTAATTTATTATTAATAAAATGAAATTATACACCTTTAAAAATATTTAAATGCAAAAAATTGATCTGACAAAAAAAATTGCTTTCAATTGTTTCAAGTTGATGGATTTTGTCTAATTGATCTTTCATTCCAATTTAGGATTTTGTTTATATTGTAAAACCAATCATTTGAAGATTCTTCACGACTAATTGTTAATAATGGATACATTGAAGAGGTGACTTGAATTGATTCATTTCTTTCAAGATTTATACGATTACGTCCGTCAAATGATGCCTGTAATTATTATAATAATTATAATTATTTATATATTACCTTTTTTTTTTTAAAAAAAAAATTTGCATTCTTACCCAACCAGCGACTTTGCTAGTATTAGACACACGTATTTTTAATTTTTTAGATCCAGGTATAATCATCGGTCTTGTGGTTAATGTATGTGGAGCAATTGGTGTTAATAATATTGAACTTTGATCAGGATGAACCAATGAACCACCCGCTGATAACTGATTATTTTAAAAAACATTAACAGTTAAACACATTAAATATATCAACAAAATAGAAAAAAAATATTTACATACCGAGTAAGCCGTAGAGCCTGTAGGAGTAGCTATAACCAATCCATCTGCTAAAATCGAAGTAATTTCACAATCATCAACGAACTAATTTCTCCCCAAAAAAATTTATTTAAAAATTAATTTTAAAAAAAAACCCCCAAAAAATCTTTTCTTCTTTACCAATTGTAATTCAATTATAGTGCCATATGCACCTCTGTCAACAACTAATTCGTTTACTACATTAAATGTTGTTATATCATCATCATCATCATCATCATCATCATCATCATCATCATCATCATTTGTTCCTTCTATACATTTACCACCTTTTTCTTTTTCTCCATTATTATTATCATCATCATCATTATTGTGGTTTTTAAATATTTTACATTCTAATCTTGTTCTAATCGTCATATTAACTAATTTATTTTCAATGATATTTTTCAATGTGTTTTTGTAATCATCAAATTTAAAAACTGTCAAAAATCCCAAGGTACCAAAATGAAATGGTAAAATAGGTGGAATTTTGTGAATATTTCTATGCTGGTATAACCATGAAGTATGTAGTATTGTACCATCTCCGCCTAATGTAATTATTAAATCGATTAGAGACAATTCTTTTTTACCAATAAAGTATTTTACTCTTTTTGAATTGGAAATCAAATCTGTATTAGGATGAAATAAAGAATCGGTTTTTTCAATATAAACAGTTATCTTATTATCATTATCATCACCATCACCGTTATTGTTGTTAGTATCGTCATCGTTGTTGTTGTTATCAAAATTTGATTCAATCAACCAATTAATCAATTCTAACCTGTGTTTGATTATTGTGTTATCATTGATTTTTGTTATGACTAAAATATTTTTAATATTGCCAAGGCGTGTTAATTTATTATAGATTGATTTTAATTTGTTGACAGCAAGCATATGAGTATTCAACAAATCTTTAATGTTCATTATATCATTTTTGTTGATTGACTTGAAATGAACTTTATTTTTATTCTTGGTCAATCTTTTAAAACTATGAACATCATCGTCGTCTAATAACATCAATGAAATGATATTTGATATATGATAAAGTTAATATTATAATACCATTAATAAATAATAATAATAATAATAATAATAATAATAATAATAATAAATTCCATCTTTAAATTTTATCCAATCTCCATCTTCAATTTTCCATTGAATTATATATTTATCGTAATCGAATTCTTTGAATAAAGTTGTAAATTTGTTTACTATTTCACGATATTTCACCTCACTTTCTATAAATAAATAAAAATCATTAAACTTTATATTCTTATTATATTTATCACAACATCGACGACGACTATATACCTTTCAATATAGCATAACGAGTTTCTCCTTCATGCATTAGTGTTGTTTCAAATTTAATTTCTTCGTTTGAATTCATTTTTTTGAAGCGGAATGATTGAAGTGTGCCACAATTTTAGTATGAATATAAATTTTTATGAACACGTTTCGTGTTTTATTATTTTTGCTATCACCATGACATGACTAATAACACCAACACCAACACCAACACCAATAAACGGGACATGGACAGCAAAAAAAAGGATCTCAAATTGCAGAACTTTCCAAGGTTTAATATGTCATATGAAACAGCTTATCTCGTGATTTTATTAGGCATGTTTCTAAACTCGAATGATTTCTGGGCCTATAATAATACATGTAACTATGATGATCAATTAATGAATAAATCGACGAAGCATTAAAAAAAGCAATTAAAGAAAAAGTCAAAATGGTTATTATTATTCAGTTGATGAATCAGAACAAGATGAAGATAGAGATGAGGAGTTGAAAGGAAATGAGGAGGGGGGAATTGAAAGTAATTTATCGGAATAATTTTCTATTTTGAATTTTATGTATATTAATATTGTGCATTTGAATTTCTTAAATTTACAAACCAATATCATTTTCAATTGATGAAAAATTACTTGTCAATCGTGATAATAATGATGATATCAGTGAAGAGAATGATATCGCTAATGAAGGTATGATGAATTGATTTTGGTTTTTTAGCTATACATAATTAATCTTAGATGTCAATTAATTAATTAATTGCTAAAGAACCCTCAAAAAAAGAAACATTCTCGTCGTCGTTGTCGTCATCATCATCATCAAGGAAGATAGTTTAGCAAGATTCAAGTTGAAAGCCCGCAAATTACGTGATGACTGAAGAAGAGGATTGATGCCAGATGTTCAATATGAAATACGATTAAGAAATCAGTAAAGTAAAACATATATTTAAACAGCTTATGCCCTTGTTTTCTTTTTCAAAATCATATTCTTCATATCATTATCGAAATTTTTTTTAATTAAAACCTCTTCATAAAAATCTATATCTATAATATATATATAATAAATTTAGATTTGAGAAACTTAATCTAGCACTTAATTGGGCAACTCTTCCTTCAAAATTTTCTCCAATAAAATAAAAAAAGAAAATTGCCAGATCCGAATATATCTGATGATGATGATGATGATGAAAAAGAAGAAGAGAATGTTATTACACAGGATCATATAAAAAAATTATCAAATAAAAAATTTGGAATAGCAACAGTGAAAATGCTAATCAACAAGGTCATTCTAAGGTTATTATTAATTAATTCTTTAATTATTATCAATAAGAAAATTTTTTTAAAGGGAGTAATTTGATAGAAAATTTTATCCTAATGCACAAGCATTAATGGTAGCAAATTTAGTTAGACAAAAAAATTAAATAGTTTCAGGTTGGTTTCAATCACTACTACAATACTATTATTATCATTTTGTCATAAATAAATAATAGTAATAATAATAATAATATTCAAAATAAGTGTTTTATTTTATTTATTTTCTCTAAAGATTGATTGTAAAATAAATCCCGAGATTCAATGAATGATGTTCAAAGATTTAAAGCAAGCTTTTAATCCAAGTGGAAAAGAAATCATAATAACAGGCAAAAAAAATTTTATATTTATTATATTGAAAGTGATGTAATTGAAAGACCTAGAGAAATCCATGGATTTAAAGACAAATCACTTGAGAATTTTCCAATATCACCATGTGGACAATATATTGCATTTGTTGGAAATAATTGATATATAATATTGATAGGTTATAAGACAAAACAATGAATTACCAGTTTGAATGTAGATGGTTTAGTAGGCTCAATTGATTGATCTAGTGATGGTCAATATTTATTTTCTGTTAGTAATGATGCTGAAGTTTATCAATATTTCACAGATCAAGTACTGGTGTTTATGTTTAACCATTAAAACCATTGAAATCTTTTATGAATTAACAACTTTTGTTTATGATATGAAATGATCCACAAATATTAGAAATGGTAATGCTGGATTTATTTTAATTGATTATATTTATCTATATAATTTTAATGATATTTATTTTATATATTTTTTTCATTTACCATCTCTTAATGCATTTCCAAATTGGCCAACTTTTCCAACTCCATTAAGTTTTGTTCAATATTTTGATTTTTCACCTGCTAGTGGTTATTTAACAGTTGCAACAATAAAGGCAAAGTTTTTTATGCAGGCTAAAGGATTATCCATTTGCTTAAAAGGTTATAATTATTGTTGTTGTCTTTATTTTATTAGATAAATATCATATAGATATAACTCTCATCTAAGATCAATAATAAAATCCAAACTAAATAGTTTGTTTTTTTTTTGATGTCCAATACTGGTTTTACTAAATTAACTTTTTGCCACCAAAAGTGATAGATTCCTACTCATAAAATATAATTTGTTTTGATATGGGGCATGCTGCAACAAAACCAGACAAAGTGAACACTGGTATTACCAAGAATTTCAGGGATCAAAATTTAGTAATGTGATTATTAAAATCTTCCATTTGTTATCCTCTTAATATTAGTTGATATATAGAACTACTCCCATATAAAAATAAAAATAATATGAAATTAATTTATATCAGATCTACCATGGAACCCAAGAATTATAGTACTATCATGTAATAAATTGTTTGCTTTATTAGTGTAATAACGTTTTTCTTTAAATTCAAAGACAAGGCGGGCACGGTGATACAAGATTATTTTATGTGCGACGCGTGCGTTACAATACTTTACATTGTACGCGACCGATCTATTATTAATTATTTTAGTTTATATTGTTATCGCGTACAATTGTTATTTTCATTGTTTGGATACAAGTTGTAAATTAAGCACTGGAGCTTTCCAGAAAGTCTTAAGAGACCAACCTGGTTATTAATAATATTTATTTATTTATTGTATTTTTATTATTATTATAAATTGTATAAATATAAACTTTCCGTTTTATAACTTTTGTAACTTGTATTTAATTAAAATACTTGGTCTTGTAAGGAAAAGAGTTTCCTTACATATCAGAAGTATTTTGAAGAAAGAACAAGGTGAAAAAATTGCCCCTTACATTTTCAAAATAAATGATACTCAGGCACTGGAAGCTTATATGAAAAAAGGATTAAAAATGCTGCAACTCTTGATGTTGCAACAGTCTTAAATGTCTGCAATGTCTGCAAATATTTTCCACAATTGTCTGCAATTTCTGCAAATGCTTTCTATTTCTACAATTATCCTCAGATAAAATCAAAGTTTATCTAAATAAAGTTATTTCTATAGTTATGTTTCTAAGACTGTTTTTAATAGCAGAGAGATGAAATATGGAATAGATAAAAGAACTTGATATTTTACAAAAAAAAAAAAAAAAATGGTTCCCAAAAAATCAAAAATTTTTCATATCATCTTTTCTTCAACAAAAGGAGAACCTCTCCATAGAAGAGGTTCTTTATTGATTGTTTGAACTTGAGAATACCAAAAATTGGTTTTTCTTAAAAAAAGAATGCAATTGGCCAGCAATTGTAAACAATCATCACTCCTAAACTAAAAAAAGATGATGAATCATTGTATCAGATTTCCTTTTTTATGCTAACTTAATACCCGATTGATGTTGAATCAAACTTATTTACACAATTAATCAACATCAATTGACACTACACCCGATCAGATGCCATTCTTCAATCAAAATCAATATTAAGAAGTTTATATATAAAGAAAGAATTAAAAAAGCAGGTAGCATCATCAATGCTCCTATTAAAAAATAATTCATGATTTGAATTATAATTCCAGAGGAGAAACCATGGAATTTTAAATCATGATTAGTTTTTTTTACAGGGTGTAAGTATAATCATAAGCTTAATAAAATTTTATTTTTTTTCAATATATATTTTAAGATTCGTTTCTTTGCAAATTCAAAGTATTTATATTATTCTATCACTCTAACTTGGCAAAGGTGAATCCACATGTTTCTCATACTCCATTGGATTGATACTACATGCTTTTTGCCAGTGGGTTTTTGAGGGAATGTTTAATATGGCGAATATATCTTTTCAATGCTGAAGCTTGAGAATGCAAAAGTGAATTGCGATGGTGTGTTTTCTTTAATTCCTCAAGTACATTAACACTGTCATTTAAGCCTCTCTATGTGCAAAAAAAAAAAGAGATCTTCAGGAGAAAAAGAACAATAAAAAATTTTTACTTACTCCAAAATTCCATAAGATCAGCAACGCACACAAAAGTTCATGGTGACTCTCCCAACTGATTGGAAGCTGAAAAGTACCAAGGAGAAACATGCAGTAAATTTTCTTGACAGGTAAGTCCATTCCCCAAATTTGAACATCTTTTCCTATTGGTAAGTGAAAAATACTTGGTTTAATTAATATTAAGAAATCAAAACTCAAAAGTACAGGCAACATTTTACTTACCATGTGTATGAAAAAACCATGTACGCAAATGCCTCATGTTCTTATAATTGCCATATAAAAGCATCATTGCTATATTATTGAGAAGGTCATGCTGACCCCAACATCCGTGAACATGATCTTTCAAATATTGAGGAAAATCATGTGTGTTATATCTGCCAGATAATTCTATCATTCCAATTTCAAGTGGGTTATCATTAACAGTTTGAAAAACTCCATCTATTTTTAATCCTAATGGTTTATTATCTTCAGGCTTAAGATCACATCAAACTAATCATTGATTTGCACTGGCTTGGATAAAATTCACCACTATTGTTTAAAAGCAATATTTTTCATTATTATGAGAAAAAAACTCTATTTGACACTAAAATCTGAAAACATATGGTATGTAAACTACATTGTGATCACATGTATTGGAGATGTATTTTAAAACAGGATGCACCAAAAGAGAGCCTAAAATTGACTTTTGTTCACAAGGACTATGGAATGCACTGGAGGGATTAAATACTACATCTGCACTTTAAAATTAAATAAAATTAATAACAGGAATAATAATAACACTCCCATTCCCTGCACAAAAAAATACTTACAACCACTGAAGTATATTTGTAGCAAATAACATTTGTTTATTTTTTATGTCAAATTTTGTATTATGGAGGCATTCCAAGTACTCTGTCAGGGAGTCCTGTAATTAGCTAATAATGAGAGTCAAATATATAATATTGCATTACCAAGAACTTTTTTAGACAATTACAGTTTCTAACAGGTTGTTGAAAAGCTTTTCCATGTCTGAACCTAGAGGATCTTTGGGGTATTCGATGCTTTCTTGTAGATATATCCAATCTTCATTTTCAATCCACTTTGGCCATTGAATCCTTGATCCAAGTATGATTCCTATATATGATGGGCTATATGTAAATAAAACGCATAAGTTAGATTGAAAGGAAGGGGATGAAAGGAAGGATAAAAGAAAATAAAGATATAGAACTTACTGAGGTTTGTGAAGAGTAGAAGGACCACAAGTCACTTCAGCAACAGACTTTCCTGAAGGCAATAGCCAAATGTCCATTGGACTATCCTTGGTGGGATATGCTAATACAGATGTCATATTCTCTGACCTGAACTCAATAGGTGCAATGCTTGGACCTACTTCAATTCCAACTTCAAACTCATCATCATAGTCATCATTAACATCACAATAAGAATTTATCTCTGTTTCATCATTTGAATTTTCATCACCCGAATCTGCAACTTCTATGCATGGAGGAGTTCAAGGTTCAGTAATCAAATGTAGTTCTACATACTACACATAAAGAATAAGATTTAGATATGGAAGCAAAAACTGAGACCTTTTTTTTTTTAATATTAATGAATTATAGAAATAAAATACTGAGCGTTTTTTTGGATGCTCATCATCAAAATTCTCTAGTTGTCTGGTAAGAGTGGCACATACGATTTGATCTTGCACAATTGCTGTTTTTATGACTTTGTTATGTTGCTCTGCCTATAAAAGAGGAAAAAAGGAAGTAAACAAATTTATTTCCACAATTCTATATACTTTGTTACATACAGATTTAGAGATAATTACCATTAGAATATTACAATCATTAATCAGGTCTTGCATCTTATTATACTCCTTTACATTTTTGGTCCATTCCTAGGAAAAAAAATAGAATTAACATAGTTCTCAGAATAAAATTAGATGCACTATTATTATATCAGTGTTGAATTTGAGAGAAGATTCTTGAACTAAGAGTTCATAACTGAACAACTAAGAGTTGTACAGCTTTGCAGGAACTAAGGGTTCATAACCAAGCAACTAAGAGTTGCATAGCTTCTGCTAAGAAAGAGTAGGCATGAACTAAGAGTTCATAACTGTGCAGCTAAGAGTGTTACAGCTTAACCATACTCTAACCTCTTCTCCCTTTTTTTTTTTTTCAGTCTTCATTCTTAATATTTCTTGTAAGCATACTTTCCAGTTGTTAAGTATAGATTGTGCTTTTTCCTTGTGTGTCATGTCAGGATCATTATTTGCAATTCATTTGAGATCTTTTTTTACATGACCAAGCACTTGTTTAAGATTATATTGTATATTATTTTCTTTTTAGTATTTTATAACATCCTCACATTTCCATCTACAAACATCAGTTTTAAAAAAATCCATGTAAAATATATTTTTTTTTAATATTATTTTTTTTGTTATTTTTTTTTTTCAGTCAAGTATTTTAACAGGAGACTGTTCTGGGAACACAAAATTTTAACCCATGCCATTTGTTGATTGACCAATTAAAATCACGAATTTGATAAACATATAAATAAATATGGGTTTAGTAGGTCGCAATATATATATATTGCGACCTACTTACGTTAGACTGTTACCTACTTATGATTAGACTGTTACCTACTTATGATTAGACTGTTACCTACTTATTAGCTGTGACGTGTGTTTTGCGTTTGCCTCGTCATCCGAACGTCATCAGGGTGTGCAGATGGCTTGACGTGCAATTTCTATTTTTCACGTCACTCGAATGACGATCGTGGCTAATTTCCGTCGTCAGGTCATATGCGACATATTGTACACCGGCTTGATTGCAGGTTGATGGGCGGAGTATATATTTAAGAAGGCGTCTGATTTCTGCATTTTCAGTCTCCGCCATGCACCATTCATGATCATCGTCAACATGTGTAGACGGTCGCCTATAAGTACCACTCTTGGAAAATACCATATCTATGCCCGAACCAGGTACGTAGTGCCTTAGCTTTCTGGTTAATTCCTCTATGAGGGCCGGGTTTGAGGCATGTAGTGCCGAAATAGTATTCATAATCTTTATATGGTGCATTTGAATACCGATTAAGGATGAGGCACGTAGTGCCGAATTGTTATCCTATTTGGTAACCCGAGGATGAGGCACGTAGTGCCGAATCGTTATCTATTATGTTATCTTAGAATGAGGCACGTAGTGCCGAATCGTTATCTATTATGTTATCTTAGAATGAGGCACGTAGTGCCGAATTGTTATCCTATTTGGTAACCTGAGGATGAGGCACATAGTGCCGAATTGTTATCATATCCGTTGATACCCCAAAGCATAATTTTATATATTATATATCTTTCTGTAATAATTATACCTTGGGGTATCACTTTTTTTCGATACCTATTTGTATGTAACCCCAAAGCATAATTTTATATATCTTTCTATAATAATTATACCTTGGGATATCATTATATCGAAAACTTTGGGATAATACTATAGAAAACTTTGGAATAACACTATATCGAAAACTTTGGGATAACACTATAGAAAACTTTGGAATAACACTATATCGAAAACTTTGGGATATCATTATCAAACATGTATCAAAAAACGTGAACACTATTTATAATCAGAAAATGAAACCTGGGGTACCACTAATTCGAAAACTTTGGAGTATCACTTTTTTCGATACCTTGAAGTATCATTTTTATTGATACCTAAATTAGGCAACACAAAAATGGTTATCGAGGAAGCTGAGCTTCGAGTCTCTGACTCATACATACCTTATATATTAGAAGTACTTACCTGAAATTTATCTTAATCAAAATTGCGCGACACAAAAACCCCTATATATGATCCAGGTATCGAAATATTAATTTTTGATTTGAATTTTTCTGCATACTTATTGTAAGAAATGCTTACCTGAGATGAATGACTAGTTAAATGTAGCAATCTCTCTCCTTCAGAAATTACTACTTAACTAGTTTATATCACCTTGAAAGATATATAACAACAATTACGCATATTCAATGAGGGCTAAAGAGTAGGTTTTTAATTCTCTTTTGTGCGGAGTAGTAGGAACTTTCATTTTAGCCTCAAAGTTTCGTTTATATTCCAAGAACTCAGCTTCATTCATGCTTTTGCGCTCTTTTTTCCAATAATTATGGTTATCCCGCATTTCAAAGGTAATCTTGGCTCGCCATTGTTCTAATTTTTCTTTCGACATTTGGAATTTTTCTTGTAAATAAAAGATAAGAGTATCTATATCAGATTCATTTTTAATAAGAAATTCTGAAGATAGAGAAGTTAAAGATTCAGGTATTTCAATCCTAGTTTCGGTAATGTTTGAAAATTGCTCGAAATTGTTTGATTGATTTTGAGCCAATACTATAGAGGACAATTGTGGTAAATTTGTCATAGATTTTTCGACTATGTTATTGCAAGAACTCTTTTCACAAACCTTATTACTAGATTTTGAAATGGTGATATCAGTAGTAATAGCGGAGCTAGTGTCAAGACACATGGGTATAGAATCGAAAAGTTCTTGAGTTTCATTGACCGATTCAGGTTTATATGGTGGAAGAATTGGATTTGTAGGGTAATAATTAGGATCGTTTGATTTTATAGCTATTATTCTTTCTATAGTTTCAAAACCAGCTCCATTATCTGGTACACAATAAATCCAATAAGTGCGCTTCCACACTCGTTGATCTTTTGGCCCCAAGAGCATTTGCTCACTCTTGATAGTATAACCGCACCAATTACCTAGTATTGCATTAATAAATTTTATTGTAGCATTGAGATCTGGTGTTCCTTTAGCTCTGGTCTTAAAACCGAAGAGTAATAATGCATCTTCTCGAATTTTAACGATTTTTTCCCGTGATTGCTCAAAAGTCTTAGCTACATCATCACCAGAAAGAATATTTGTGTCATCAATATCACTAAAACCTATCGATTGGACAAGATTATGTACTGCTTCCCATTGTTTTACTGAATAAAATTTATGCAAATCAACTGAGGACGGATCTATAGATTCATGTGAATCTTCCCATTGCATTTCTTCTTTGATTTTTAGATTTTCTATAGAATTTATTGCATTAGAACCTTGCCTTCTGAAATATGCCAGCCTCCTAAAATGTTGTAAAGGTTCAGGATTATTATATCTTTTCACGAAATCTATATCACAAAGTTTGATCCAATCATCATTATTCATACCCCAGTTTCGAATATCATCCTTACCTCCAATATCGCCTGAAGCATATGTTCTCCATAAATAATGTCGTTGCAGGGTCATGTTATCAGCAAAAGAACGTTCAGGATTTAGCTTAAGCATTTCAGCTTCATTAGGATTGATATCTGGAGCATTGACTATTAATTCTGCATCAGAACTTTTGATCCTTTCTTCAGTATTCTTAATAGTATGAAATACTTCTGTACGAGAAGCTTTGGCTAATTTGGTATCTTCTACTGTGATTAATTCTAGCGATGCTCCAGTACTAGCAATCAAACTACAAAGAATTTCTGGAAAATATTTGGCAGATAAGCGTCTCTGATATTCAACCTCAATATAGGTTTCTACTGCCGGAGATGAATCAAGTATATAACAGTCAGCAATTTTGTTCCATTCACGGCGCCCCTTTATTGCAGTTGGTAAATCTCCAGGTCTTAAGGCCGAAAGTTCTGCACGAATAAGGTCACGATTTGGTTCTTTAAAAATCTCAGAATGTGTTTTACTATTGTAAAGAGAAACAATACGATACGGGCAATCGCGAGTTCGATAAAGCATCTGAGCAAATGCTTCAACGTGTACTCCTGTATTAATATTACTAATTGCTATAACTGCATCAAAATAGTTAGGAATTTCGAACGAGATGCCTGACTCCACAGTACTTGTATAGATTACACAATCAAGGCCACTCCAGGTAGCATTAATATCAGCAAAGTCATCCTGGCGTTGTTTTTCATCCATTTGACTAAAATAAACTCGTGATAAAACGCATGAACCGTCTGGTTTTTGCAACTTAGATGCTTGATTAGCTATTGCCCGAGCCTTTTTGCAGGAGGTCATTGAAAAGACAACACGCTTACCTTCTTTAAGCATCTCAAGACCTTTACGTATAGCTTCTGAACCTTTATTTGAATCATAAAGGATTTTTACGGTCTCACTTTTACGTGGCTGATACTTATTATCAAAAACTTGGATGTTTTCACCTCGGTATTGTCTTAAGAAGGCTAAAGTCGACTCATTTGCAAAAGCATCCATGGCAACCACGTGAACAGCCGACTTTAACAAATCCCGCATGGCATTTTCAGATTCTCGTGCATGGATTCCACTTGCCATTTGACGCATAATACCATTCGTTTCATCTAAAATAACTACATGAGAACGACCCCCATGGAAATTAAGATGATGTGTACTTTCGACCTGAACAATAATAACATCCCAGTCACGTATAGCTAAATTGCCTTCATTTTCCTGATAATGGCACACACGAAGCCCGGATTTCTGTAATACTTCGATTTTACTTTTAGTTTCATTACTAAGAGTTTTACGATATGAAACCCAGTTAAAACAAGGTAAATTTGCTCCATTTTTGGCTAAGGAATCGAGAATTTCTCTTAGTGTTTTTGTTTTGCCACTAGCAACAGGTGAGCGAATAAGAGTTGTAGTAAGATTCTCGCTTAAGAAATCGGGGTAAGCTTCTGGTGCATCTTTCATTTCCTTTACATTGATGATTTTTCCAGATACACAGTGAGTCTCGATTTAACGGATATTTTTTTCCAGAAAATTTATCCGTTAAATCGAGAGATCCGCTAA